AAAGTTTATATTGTTTTAAATGGCTTCTCTATGGCTTAGGAAGCATCTGTTGGAGTCTATGAGTATGTATGGAAAGTTCAAGATCAAGTACGTTTGGGTCAGAAACATGTTCAGTAGGTAAAATATTTTTCTGGCTGAAATGACATCATGAGAAGTAAATCTCCAACCAACCAGAACACCCTAGCAAACACCAAGCAACAGCCTAGAAACCACCCAGAACACCATAGAAACAGACCAGAACACCCCAGCAACCATCTGGTAACACGCTAGAAACCACCCAGAACACCCCAGCAACCGCCTAGCAACAACCTAGCAACCACCCCGAACACCTTCGCAACCACCCAGAATACCCTAGCAACCGCATAGCAAAACCATAGCAACCACCCAGAATACCCTAAAAAAACACCTAGCAACCACCAAAAACACAGTAGCAACCTCCCAGAACACCCTAGCAACGGGGTGCTGAGATTTGCCGCTTCAAGCTCCACTTCACATTTTCTTCTGGAAATGTGCCATAAAGGTGTTCCTGGAGGTCAAAATTTACCTATGTATATCTAATATAACATCAGAAGGAGTCTGAAAGTTTATATTGTTTTAAACTTTTTGAGGAACCTTTGACCAGAAATGAGTTCAATATGTCAGATATGGACTTCTCTATGGCTTAGGAAGCATCTGTTGGAGTCTATGAGTATGAATGGAAAGTACAAGCTCAAGTACTTTTGGGCCAGAAACATGGTCAGTAGGTCAAATATTTGTCTGGCTGAAATGACATCATGAGAAGTACATTTCTCGGTATAATAACCCACAGACCAAGGACCCGTGGGCCATAAAAGTGTTCTTGGAGGTCAAGAATTGACCTATGTAATATAAAATCAGAAGGAGTCTATAAGTTTATATCGTTTTAAATTTTTGAGGAACCTTTGACAGACATTAGTTCAAAAGGTCAGATATGAACTTCTCCATGGTTTAGGAAGCATCTATTGGAGTCTATGAGTATGTATGAAAAGATCAAGATCAAGTACTTTTGGGCCAGAAATATGTTCAGTAGGTCAAATAGCTTTCTGGCTGAAATAACATCATGAGAAGGATCAATTAATTACCCATAGGCTAGAAATATGTTCAGTAGGTCAAAAAGGAACATATGTATATAACATCTGATTGAGTCTATCAGTTGATATTATTTAAAAACTTTTGAGGAAACATAGACCAGAAATTAGTTCAATAGGTCAGATATGGACTTCTCTATGGCTTAGAATCAAGTACCTGTGAGCCAGAAATATGTTCACTAGGACAAAAAGGAACCTATCTATAGCTTATAAATCATCAAAAGTCAATAAGTTAATATTTATTTAAACCTTTGAGGACCCTTTGACTCTTTCGCATGGATTCTACTACTAATTCTTTTGTGCACTGTCGAAAAAACATCACTTGAGCGGTCGTGCAAAGCAATAAATTACTCGTTCCTTTGTGCAACAAAGAGATG